GGTTTTTGAGGAGTCAATGAGGAGCTAGCGAGGCCATCTACCCGACGCGCTCCCTCGTCGCAGGGTCTTGCTTGGGGGTCCCGCTCGCGAAATTGTTTATGTTTCCGATTTGGGACCGTACCCATCGGCAGGTCAAGGTTTGCAGGCTGTGGTCCTTCATCGACGGTACGGTCTCGAGGGCCGGAGGGACGGCAGAGAGCGTTGCGATCTCTTTGGCAGCCTCGGCAAGAGTGTTGACTGAAGGTCTGCGGGAGGCTCGGCTAGTGAATTCTGACAAGACCACTGCGCTGGCCTCATCGTCTCGCGTTAGATCTCGAATAAGTCAGTTGTTGAAGGCAGCCGAGGTCCCGCATTCAGCTGAGGTGTCAGCGGTAGATTCAGGATGCGACATCACGGTAGGCAAAGCTAGGATTCTCAAACGGACCAAGAGAAGGTTAGTCAAGGCCACCAAGAGGTTCCGTCGCATCAGTAAGCTCAGGCGCTCAGCTAAATTATCGAAGATATCGCAGTCTCTTTGGACCACTGGGGCCCTTCCCCAAGCGGCGCACGGGCACCAAGTGAATGGCGTGAGCCCGAGTCAGATTCAGAACCTCAGGCGACAGGTTGGCCAGGCTATCGCTGGAACGGGTTCGGGTCCTTGTCTGACCATGTTGCCTGTCATGCACCTAGGGGTCAAAGATCCTGGTTTGGAGTTGCGCCGCCAGTTGGTCCTCGAGTTTTGTTTAGTTTGGAAGTCGTCGCCAGAGCTCCACGACCGCATCAGAGCGGCTTGGAAGCATCTTACCCCTCGGCTCTGGCCAGCTAGAACGCGGTGGAATAGGGTGCGCGGGCCTACCAGCGCGGTGATTGCCACTCTCTACGAGGCTGGGTGGATCCCGTTCTCCCCCGACTCGCGGCGTCGCCCAACTGCGAACGGGAGCGGGGTTTGGAGACTGCCGTGCGCGAGAGAGGCTGGCTTCGAGCAAGGAGATGCAGATTGTACTGAATTGCTCGGCGACCTGGTCCAGGATTTTGCGTCCCAGTTTTGGACCCAGGCCGCTTCTCATTATGGGGGTGAGGGGCTGGAGCTTGGGTGGGGACGTTATCCTGGCGAGTCGCGAAGTACGCAAGTTTTTAGAAAAGGAAGCTCATGAGCTCGTAGGTCTCCAGAATGCGGCAGTGTCTGGTAGACAGTTCACTCGAGAAAGACAGGCGGCCTTAGGATATGAAGTAGCCACAGAGTGTCCAAGATGCCAGCAGAGCACAGAGACTCTCTTTCATCGGGTGTGGGGGTGCTAGGCTTCGAGGAATTTGAGAAGAGTGAATGCGTCAGGCAGCAGGCCCAGGTGCAGTGGGAGAGTTGCCAAGTTTTGTGGCTCAGGGGAGTTCCGCCTAAGAGCTACACCCATCTTTCGGTTTTTCCGAAAGAAAACCTTCTGTCCCTGGGGCCGCTCCCGATTTCCGAGGTTGAACCGCATCCCATATTTGGGAGTGTGGTGGTTTTCGGCGACGGATCGGGGGGGGGCCACAGTGCGGACCCACGTAGGCGAAGGTGTGGCACTGCTGTGATCACTATGCAGCCTGACGGCCAAGGAGGCTGGAGGCTGGCATTGGGCTTGTCGACTCCTGTCGGGGGGGCAGCGTCAAACGGTCCCTCGAGCGGAGCTGCTCGCGTTTGCCATCGCACTTGAGCATGTCCCGAGAGGTTTCTGATTGTTACCGACCACGAGCCCCTCATGAAAGCATGGGGGAAGGGTCGGCAGTTCCAGAAGAACGGTTCAAATCAAGAGTTGTGGTCTCGAATTCGGGTGGCACTCCAGGCTCGGTCGTCGGAGGTGAACCTGAAATGGATCCCTTCGCATATGGACGAAGCCACCTCTCTCAGCGAGCCGATCGACCCCTACCTAATTCAGGGCGTCGCCCTGGCCGATGAGGAGGCGGGGCTGCGGCGGGGAGAGGGCGGGCGGTTTCGGTGGAAGGGGGCGAGCCTCAGACTGACCACTAGGATGCGATTGGCACCCTGGTTCGAGCTCGTGCGAGGCGCGCCTTGGCCCTGGCTGCGGAGGCTGACCCATGGAGGGGAGTGCGGGCCACTGTGCAGCGTAGAGCCCCCCCTCGAAGAGACAGCGTGTACTGCAGGCCTCCAGCCATAGCCTCAAGCAAGCAGAGGGCTCATGGAGGTACAGGAGTTGTGATATTGTAGTGCCCGTGTCACGTCTCATTGAAGCCGCCAAGACCCAGTGCCGCGGCCTCCCTCTCCTTGGTGCGGGGGCGTGTAGCGGGGGCTTGGCGGCTGGAAGGGACGTGCGCCCCTCTCATACCGTCCAGAGGTGGGAGCGTTACCTCCTGAGTTTCTGCACCACTTGTGGCAAGTACGCCACGGTCGATGGGCGCCACCTCGCGGCGAGATGCGAGGGCCTCTCCCGCAAAGGCCGTGAGAATCTAAGCCGCATCGAGGGAGTCATGTACCCCCGCAGAGAAGGGGTGCCTAAGCCTTTGCAAGCTGCCCTCGATGCGCGTGAACGCGGTTGCCTTGAGAGGCTGTTTGCGCGTGCTGCGCCCGTCCCCTCCCCCCCCCGCACGCCCCGTGCCTGGTCAAAAGGTCCAGAAGGTCCTCCTCCTCCTCCTCCTCCTCCTCCTCCTCCTCCTCCTCCTCCTCCTCTTCCTCCTCTGGTGCGGACCCGCTGGGGCCCCCCGATCGCCGAATGCCACGCGCCGGCCGCGCGCGGCGCGCTCGGGCTCGGCCCCCCCGCGGCTGCTCCCGGGAGGCCGCGCGCTGGGGGTCGCTCGCTCTCTTGCAGAGTGGGGCCACGCCTCTGCGCGCGGCCGGCTCCCGTGGTTTTTCAGCGCGTCCCTTGGCCCCGCCTGGCTCCTCCTCCTCCTCCTCCTCCTCCTCCTCCTCTCCTCCTCCTCCTCCTCCTCCTCTTCCTCCTCCTCCTCCTCCTCCTCCTCCTCTTCCTCCCCCTCCTCCCCCTCCTCCTCCTCCTCCCCCTCCACCTCCCGGCGCCCCCCCCTTCGGTCACCCCCGAGATCGCTGGCGCTCTCGAACAGCCACCAGTCCTGCGCGGGCAATCCGCCGAAGGTTCAGTCCGGCACGTGCCTCTGCAGGAGGACCATTCCAGGAATGGGCAAACAAAAAATATGGGCACGATGCTCTTACGATGCTTGATTTTTTGGGGGGGGCATGTGTTGATTCTTTCTCACGTCCAAAATCCGCCTGTAGAGGGACGTGCCCGACCTAAGCATAACGCAGCGAGGAGAGTTTTAATCCCACGGGGAGCGGAGAACGGTGCCGAAGCGGTCGCGTCACCCCCGGCTCCCCGGCGGGGCCGGCGCAGATGGCGCCGCATCCCCGATGCATCGGCGATGCGGCGGGATCCAGAGCCCGCCCTTCTCCCCGTAGAGACGCGCTAACGGTGTGGCAGCCAACGGCGGAGCAGGAAAGCCAGTTGTGGGGAGGCGAGGTTCGTGGCCGAGCCAATGGCGGGAACGCGTGCTTCGTGTTTTCCTACAGCTCGCTGCGTCGTGTTCGTTCGATGCATTCGCACAGTTGAAACGTAGGAAATTGTGGTTCCTGGTTTCCTGCAATTTGTTCTGCGTTCTGCGCGAGCTCGGTGTCACAGAAAAGCAGATTCCCAACATCGCCGTTAACCAATATCGCCGTTAGCGCGGGCTTGGTCTCCATCCCGCCATCGCCGATACATCGCCGATGAGGCGCCATCCCCCGAAACCATTCTAATTAAGTTTCTCCGACCCGACGGGGCCTCCGAGCAAAAGAGTCAAATCCGGTCCGCATGCCATCATCCGTAGCCTGAGCTGCGCCCGCTAGGGACACAATAGAAAGCTGAAGCTCGCTCGAGCGACAGTACGCACGACCTTTCAAAGCAATCATGCTGGGGCACGCGAAGTAGGAAGACGAACGAGGAGAACACGGGAGGAAATGAAGAGGAGGAGAGGAGAAGAGGAACGAGGATGAGGAGGGAGGAGGAGCAAAAGGAGGAGGAAGGAGAAGAAGAAGGACGAGTATCGAAGAGGATGATGCGGGAGGAGGGAGGAAGGGGAGTACTAAGGATGAGGAGGAAGGAGAGACGTGAGATATCCGACGCACTGATTCCTTCAATCAGCGGGCCCACGACATCTCGATCCCTTCCCTGTGGCAGCCTTTCGCCGCCTCGGATCCACACTGTGATGATCCGTGGGCCTCAGAGGCGACCCCCTGGTAGGCCGAAGTTCGAGAACAAAAGTCAAGAGTGAAGAGAGGCAATCCGCGAGAAGCCTGCGGACGACGACGTCGGCGGCGACAGACTGCAGTGTGGTTGGAGCACGTCTGGCCGCAGCCGAGGGGCTCCGTCTGGTCGAAGCCCACCTGAACTTCGCGATGGCAGCGCGCACAGAGGGTTGGCGCCGGGCGGCAGGCCTCCTAAGGAGCCGGGCTCTTAGAAGGCATGGGGGCTCCTGAGAAGGGCCCAGGAGCTCATAACATGCCTTCTCGGCTCTCCGGCGATGCGCCGCCAGACGACGACGAAGTCCGCGCCCCCTGCCCCGCGGCCGCCCTCGAGGGCGCGACGTTATCTTCGCGCTTCGCGGTTCGGCCCCGAGTCCTCCTCCTCCTCCTCCTCCTGTCCTCCTGTCCTCCTCCTCCTCCTCCTCCTCCTCCTCCTCCTCCTCCTCCTCCTCCTCCTCCTGTCCTCCTCCTCCTCCTCCTCCTCCTCCTCCTCCTCCTGTCCCCTGGGGGCAGGGCGCCAGAGCGTCGGAGGCCTAGAGAGGAACACCAGCACCAAGGTCGGCGTTTTGCCTCCACCGAGGGACGAGGTGCTCCCGATCTCGGTGATGGTGGTGATGTTCGGGCGTTCTGCGTGGCCGGACAAGTACCGCCAGCACCGAAATCTAGGATCATCTTGCCCCTGTGGAGGCAGACCCCTCCGTTGGCGTTGGTGCCCACCTCCGGGCCTCCGAGAACGCGAGGCTCTTCGCGCAGCGCCGAGCGCGAACTTGGGAGCCCTTGCTGCCCCGGCCCCCAGGACCCCCAGCCAGGGGCGAACTTGGCCGAGCTGGCCCCCCTCTGGACGTCGGCCCAGGCGCTGGAGAGGGCGGTGAAGGCCCCGGCCGCGGATCCGGGACGCTGGGTCTGCTCGCCCGTCCTGCCTCTCCGGTGCCCCTCCGCTGCCCAGGGTTGGCCGAGGTTCGGAGGTCTTCTTTCGCTGCCTCGAGGCGCCCGTTCTGAGGCGCAGCACGTAATCCGTGCTCGCAACGTCAGTGTCGGCACGTTCAGCGTATTCCAAGGGAGGAAGAGCCACCCGGACCCGACGATTGGCGTTTACTCAACGGCCTTGGCCGTTTACTACACAGCCCTGCCCTGTTTGATTCTTTCTTTGGGCGCGTTTGCTAAACGACTTCGCGTGTCGGGTTGGTTCTTATCGGGGTGGATGTTTTGATTTCTAGTATTGGCGCACGTGTTGGCGAACGTGTCGGGTCCTCCTCCAGGCCTCCCAAATTGGGTCGAAGAGCAGATGGGGTCGAAGCACCGCCCCGCATATCGCCTGTTCATCAGTGCTGCGGCTCGACGTGAAGCCAGCGTTTCTCTACGACGGTGGCGCCGAGGGGTCGCCGACGTCGCCGACGCATCGCCGATGCGTCGGCGATGCAATCGCCGATGCATCGCCGATACGGTGCGATCCTCCGGCCCCATCTGCTCGGAGCCCATCTGGGAGGCCTCTGCCTCCGCTGCCGAGGGTCGACACCGAGGTTCGGGGATTTTGTTTTCGGCAGGTTCGTCATGCAGCAAGCAGGCCCTGAGGGGAATGGGTCCAAACAGTGTTTCGCAGTTTTGGGGGGGTCTCGGGCCCCTCCACGCGCCAGCAAACGGGTCCTGAGGAAACGGGCCCCAAAGCGCTTCGCAGTTTTGGGTGTTCTCGGCCCCCCCGCCACGCGCTCAGAGACCGTCAACTTGGCACCGCCCTGACATGTGACTTGTTGTTTCTCGGCGAGGACCGACGGGGAGCATTCTGAATCATCTAAAATACAAAAAAAACGCCCCCCCCCCAAACAAAAAAAACACGAAATCGAAAAATGCACGGGAATGGACGCCCGAGCGATGGCGAATCAAAAGCTGCTCGGCATCAAGGATGAACCGGCCTTGGGATGAGGCCGCGGCTCCAGGGCCCGCTCCCCTGCTCTATTTGTCCGAGGTTCGAGGACGTGGGCTCCCGTGAGCGCATCGGAGGTTCGAGGGCTCGAGGCTCGAGGGTTCGAGGGCTCGAGGGCTCGAGGCTTCGAGGCGTGAGGCTCGAGGTTCGACGACTGCACGGGCTTGGGGGGGAGGGGGAGGGCAAACCGCACGAGCACGAGCAGCCGGAGCCGCGGCCGCCGAGCCCCGCTGGCGCCGGAGCCGCGGCGAAAAATCGTGCTCGAGTGTCTCGCCTGCTGCGGGGGCCTCCGGGAGGAGGCCCCTTCTCGCCACGCTTGGTTCCCAGACCCCCTCGAGCTATGAAAAAATCACGACGGGAGGTTTTTCATTGTTTTTGGCCTTTGGGGGCCCTTACCGGCCCTCGGGACCGCCAAAAAACGACTCAGGACGGAGAACCGGTCCCGGGGAAAGGGTCCAGACCGCTGGGGGTCGACGTCATGAAAAATTCATGACGTCGCGGGTCTGGGGAGGAGGCTCCTTCTCGCCACGCTCGGCTTTCCGCGCGAAGTTCTGACCGAGACGAGCCCGAGGAAGGTACTCGAAGTCCAATTCTGAATCGTCCCCCGGGTCCGGTTTTTTTTTTAAGGCGCCAATTGTTTGTCATTGGGGGGGCCCGGTTTATATGAGGGCGCTTTCTTTGGATTGGAGCTTGGGGGGTCCGGTTTACTCAGGCGCTCCGTCGAAGAGCGGGTCCGGAATAGCAGGTCGCATTTTCAGGGGGGTCCGGGTTTTTTTGAGGGAGTTTCTGTGGAACTCACGTCATACTTACCCCCGGTGCGCGGGAGAGTCACTTAACAATAAACGCACCTCCAAGGACCATTTCCGGCGCTGCACCGGGCGCGCTGGGCTTGTCCCAACCCAGCGCCCTCGCTCGAGAAATCCTCGCAAAATCGCCCCACGGGCCCCCAGCGCAACCCCAGGACATCCTCGCAAAATCGCCACACGGGCCCCCAGCGCACCACCATTTCCGGCGCTGCACCGGGCGCGCCGGGCGTGTCCCAACCCGGCGCCCTCGCTCGAGACATCCTCGCAAAATCACCCCACGAGCCCCCAGCGCACCCCCAGGGGCCCCCAGGTGATTCCCCTCCGCCCGATCCTCACCCTCCCTGATCTTCATTCTCCTCATCCTCGCTCTCCCGATCCTCACCCGCCGCGCCAACGCCACCCGCTCATTCTCACCATCGTCATCGAGCAGCAGATACTCCTCATCAACCGCAGAGCGGCCGGCTAGTGGGGAGGGGTCGATGAATGAGGGATTTGGAGTACCCGGTGTCGCTTCTCACCTCTGGATCCAGGCAGCCTGTGGGAGTCGTGGGGAAGTCGCGACGTGAGGCTCGGTTGACCGTGGCCGGCCTCCAGGGGCAGTTTAGGCCACCAGTGGCGTCAAGAGTGGACCTCGGATGGCACACCGCAGGGTCCATTTCGACCCGCCCGATCAGGTTCGATATTGATTTGGGGCAGCCCGATCCGATTAGCATCCCGGTCCGATCCGATTTCTCGAGTCGATGCTGACTGATCCTGCACCGCGGTCCACAGGAAGGGTCGAGATCTCTGGGGCTCCATGTTGCCAACAAAAAACGCGACGTCGGGATCCTGAGTTTCGGGTTGCACCCAGTGGATCCCAGTGCTTTTCTTGAGTGCGTGGATGCGTGGGCCTGGGTTTCGCCCCCCCCCCCGTGGGCGCCTCTTGAGCGCGCAGAGCCCACCCCCAGCGCGCCCCTCGTGGTGTCGAGCAAGTGCCACGCCTGCCGCGCGTTGCAAGCCCGAAACGGATAGCGCTCCCACCCCCAGCGCACCCCCTTATAGTCTCGAGGAATTGCCACGCCTGCCACGCTTTGCGAGCCCGAAACGGATAGCGCTCCCATCCCCAGCGTACCCCTTGTGGTGTCCAGGAAGTGCCACGCTTGCCACGCTTTGCGAGCCCGAAATGGATAGCGCTCCCACCGCCAGCGCGCCCCCCGTGATGTCGAGGAAGTGCCACGCCTGCCAAGCTTTGCGAGCCCGAAACGGATAGCGCTCCCACCCCCAGCGCACCCCCCGTGGTGTCGAGGAAGTGCCACGCTTGCCACGCTTTGCGAGCCCGAAACGGATAGCGCTCCCACCCCCAGCGCACCCCCCGTGGTGTCGAGGAAGTGCCACGCTTGCCACGCCTTGCGAGCCCGAAACGGACAGCGCTCCCACCCCCAGCGCACCCCCCGTGGTGTCGAGGAAGTGCCACGCTTGCCACGCTTTGCGAGCCCGAAATGGATAGCGCTCCCACCGCCAGCGCGCCCCCCGTGATGTCGAGGAAGTGCCACGCCAGCCACGCGTTGCGAGCCCGAGACGGATAGCGCTCCCACCCCCAGCGCGCCCCCTGCGGTGTCGAGGAAGTGCCACGCTTGCCACGCATTGCGAGCCCGAGACGGATGGCGCTCCCATCCCCCAGCGCGCCCCCCGTGGTCTCGAGGAAGTGCCACGCCCGCCACGCGTTGGGTGGCTGCGTCGGGGGCTCGCCACGGCCCCGGTTGGTGCCCCGCCCGTGGGCGCCTCTCGCGAGCGCGCAGTGCGCTGGGCGCGTGGGCGCGTGCGGCCCGCCGTGGGCGCCCCTCGTGGGCGCCCCTCGCCGCCTACCGCACAGCTTGCATCACATAAGTCGGGCCTGTCCTTACAGGAGGAAGAGTCAGACATGAGCAAAAAGTCGGTTGGGGACGCTTTGGGGGGTATTTTTCCCTACCCAGGCTCTGCCCAGAAGGGTTCTTACTCGCTAAACTTAAAGGGCCGGGCAGTGTTGCCCGCCCCGGGCGGTTCCTCCGGCATCCGCCCCGCGGCTCCCCCATTGACGCTCCCTTAGCTTAGCGTTGCCTAGAAGGGTTCTTACTCTCTATCTTAAAGGGGCCGGGCAGTGTTGCCCGCCCCGGGCGGTTCCCCCAGTCCCCGCCCCGCGGTTCCCCCAGTTGCGCCCTCTGGGTTCACCCAGTTTAGCTTAGCTAAGCTAAGCTTAGCTTAGCTTATATCATCTTAGCTTAGCTTAGCTTTGCCTTGCCTAGCTTTGCTTAGTTTAGCTTAGCTTAGCTTAGCTTAGCTTATCTCATCTTAGCTTAGCTTAGCTTAGCTTAGCTCGGCCGAGTTGTCGAACCGTCGATGATCGGCCGCGTTGCAACCGATTTTGCCAAATTCCATTGGGAACCTTGAGGAACGCACTCATCCCAGAAACGCTCTTGAGACCCTTTTCTCATTCAAAGCAATATCAAGGCGGCACAAGACCATCGCAACCACTTCGGCCCGATCGCAAGTGGTTGCGATCGGCCACGAGTGGTCGACGATCGGCCCGAAGTGGTTGCGATCAGCCCCGGTCGCACTGCCCCGGGCCTCCCCGGAGCCTCCCCAGGTCTTACCCGGCACCCCTGGAGATTCCAGAGGTTCCAAATCGGTCCAGACAGGCCGACGTGGCTTTCGGGCCGCCCCACGACGACCCCCACGAGAAACCGAAGAGGCAAAAATCGCCCCATTCCCATTGGAGAACTCACGGTTCTAGCAAAGTCGCTGTGTGCGCAGCGCCCAAAACGGCCAAAGAGGCCCCCATGAGAGCCCCGAGACAGCCGAAGAGGCCCCCAAAAGGGCCCCAAGACGGCCCAAGAAGGCCCCAAGACGGCCCAAGACGCACCCAGGACCGCCCAGGACGGCCCCAGGAGGGACCTACGAGGGGCCCCAGGGGGGGAATGCGAACCCACATTTGGAGGCCTCCGCCCCAAGAGGACCCCGAAGACCTTCAGCAGGCCCCCGAGGACTCCCCCAGAGGACCGAGATTTCGAAATCCAATTGTTGCCGATACGTGATATGCCGGGCATTCTGTGAACTTCTGGGAGCTTCTGCGGGGCCCGCACTTCCGCATCATCCTCATCAGCACCATCATGATCATCACCATCAAGAGATGGACCACGTCAATCGTCATCGCCATCGTCATCAGCTGGAAATGTTCATCATCGAAATCTTCAGTGACATTGTCATCGCCTTCTTCGTCATCGCCACCACTTTCACCATCATCATCGTCGTCGCCGATGTTGCCGTCACCATGTCACTCGCACGCCTGAGTCATGGATCTGTTCGGACAAGGTCCGCGCACCCTTGCGCCAGTTAAAATGTGCGAGCAAGTCCCGATGAGTATGTTCATTCACGCCATCTGGAGGTTCCCCAATAAGTTGCGGGTGGGTGGGTGAGATGGTTGTTCGAGCGTCGGAGTTTGCGATGTCTGCTTCGTAGTGTGAACTACGGCACATGATTATTGCCACATAGTTTACATCCATAGTTGGCACCATGCATCACACCACATCTAGTGCATGACATAACGTAGGCCAGTTACCTTGGACAACATATCTCGCACACCATAGAGTGCACCACACGTATTGCACCGTATAGTGTAACACTACATTGCTTGCACCACATATCTCAATCTGTACACATCGAACTACAACATTTACATCATTATACATGATGTACCACCAATCGTGCACCACATCGCTTGCACGACAGACGTTGCATCACATGCGCTGCACCACAAAACTCACGCCACATACATACAAACGCATCTCTATATCTCTATATATATATATAAAAATATGTGTGTGTACATACATACATACATGCATACATACATACATACATGCATGCATGCATGCATGCATGCATGCATGCATGCATGCACACATACATACATACAAACATACATACATAAATACATACATACATACATACATACATACATACATACATACATACATGCATGCATACATACATACATACATACATACATACAGTGTGTACCACGAAGCTGATACCACATAGCTCACACCACGTATCTGTCACCCGATGTGTATTATGTACATGTATGCATAAATATTGCATTGCACGTCGAGCGTGCAGTGGTACACTTCGAGGGTCCACGTTGGCAAGACAAGCTGGTCGCTTCGCTTCCAGAGAGCGTTGTGGGAGGCGAGGCCTCCAGGGACCGACACCCCGGGGACCGCCAGAGGAGGTCGCTCTCCCAAGGCTCCTCCTCCTCCTCCTCCTCCTCCTGCTCCTCCTCCTCCTCCTCCTCCTCCTGCTCCTGCTCCTCCTCCTCCTCCTGCTCCTGCAAGGCTCTCCCAAGGAGCTCCAGTCGCTCTCCCAAAGTTCTCCCAAGGCTCTCCCAAGGATTCCCCCCTTCATCCCTCATCCAATTCGCCTGCCCCCCCCTCCTCCTCTGCTCCCTTTGCCGTTCCCGATCTCCGTTCTTCACTTCCTCCTCCTCTCACTGGGAAGTGCATGTTTTTCCCCCCCCCCCCTCCCCTCCCCCATCTGCCCCACTTCAGCTCCCACCCTCCCTTCACCCCACCCACACTCCCTGACCCGTCCCGCTCTTCCTCCTCGGGTTCCTCCTTCTCTCTTCCCACCCCCCCTCGCACATCCTCCCGCTTCATGTCGCCTCCCCTCGCAGTCCCCCGGCACCAGATCAAGTTGTTCCACTGTGTTGGACGCCTTTTTGGCCGTTGCCCCCAGCCGGTTGCACTGCTATGGTCCCGCCGTTTCCCCACGGTCGCCCCGCGAGAGCCGATGACCCGCGGCGGTCGACGGGCGGAGGCGGACGACGACCAGAGCGATCTTCTCCTCGATCCTCGGGAGGAGACTGGCGGCGCGCACCAGGGGGGAGGCTTAGGTCGGGCATTTTCGTCCTGTGCAAAACATTTCCCCCCCCCCCTCTGCGCGTGGCCGACCACATAGAGGAGAGAGGGAAGGCAAGAAAAGGAGCGGGGGAGGCCCGAGAGGGAACCCAAGGCCCCCGAAACCCAGCGGGGTTACAGCTCTGAGTAAGGCTGGCGCCAGAGGCGAGGGGTAAAACACACAAGGTGCTCGGCATTTGCGAGCGTGCACCTATGTGTGCCATATGCCGGTTGACTGTTCTTGCACGTAAAGAATGCCCTTGGGCAAACGTGATTTTTGCTGCGCGGCTCTGTGGGGGGCGCAAGGAGGCCAGCTTCAGGCGAGCAACCTCCTCCTCCTCCTCCTCCTCCTCCTCCTCCTCCTCCTCCTCCTCATCCTCCTCCTCCTCCTCCTCCCCGCTCGTTCCCCTCCCCCCATCCCCTCCGAACAGCGAGCGCTCAGCAGCTCTCGTGCCCGCGCGCTTCTTATTCGCCTGGCCTGGCTGGGCCTCGATAAGTAAGCGCGTGTTTCTGTGGGATCATCTCGACAGTTCCATTGAGCTCCCTTATACATCTGCGGCTGGTTATTTGTACTCCCGCAGACGAAGAGCAGGAGGGAGGGAAGCAGCAGGAGGGACATGGGGAGAGGGAGTGGGGGCTCCCCCATCCCTCCTTCCCCCAGCCCCCCCTCCTTCTCCCCACTTCCCTCCTCTCCGCCCGGTCTCTCCCTCACGCTTTCTCCTCCCAGTCCCTCGGCGGACCCCCCAGAGGCTCCCAGAGGTTCAAAAGCGAGCCGAGAACAGGCAAATGATCATATCATCGAGCTTTGAACGTCGATCGTCGTCCTCCTCGGCGGGGGGCAGGAGAATCGTGCTCCTCCATCCCTCCCTCTCCACCCGCCCTCTTCCCCTCCCTCCCTCCCTCCCTCCGCTCCTTTCCTCCTGCTATATATCTCGATATCGTTTAACCAATCCCCATCCCCATCCCCATCCCCTTCGAGACCCCCACCAACTTACCCCCCCAGTTGGGGATACACCCCTCGAAACCCGAAGGGGACGGCCTACATCCTCATCTAGGGGGGTAAATCGGCCAGCGGGGCCCATGCCACGCCGCCGGGGATGGGGATCGGATAAACGATACTCAATAGTACTACGTGATGGCGAGAATCCTGACGTCCTCTCCTCCTGCTCTACTTTCCCGGCCCCCCCCTTTGCGCCTCGGGAGGTCCCCCCTGGAGGCCTCCCGAAGCCCCACGAGGGCCAGGCTACGCCTCCCAAGCCCAGACCCTCCCGCTCGTCCGTGTCGTGCGGGATCCTGCCCCCCGCGCCAGCCCGCTGCCAAGGGCATCATCACCGGCACCCCGGCCGACCAGCCGCCGCTGCTGATCTTCCACAGCGACCAGGGCGCGGCCAGGAGGCCCGGCTCTTGGGAGCCTCCGGCGGCGGCTGGGCAGCGGATGGCAAGGGGGGAGGGGGGGCTGGGCGGGAGATGACGATGGAGGACGAGGGGGGAGGGGGATGGGGGGAGAAAGGGCGAGAGGGGACGATGGGAGCGGAGAAGCGGCGGACCAGGGATAGCGGGAGAGGCAGGACGGGGAGGAGGGGAAGAGGGAAAGGGCGTGGTCAGGACGGGGGGAGGGGAGGAGGGGAGTCAGAGAAGCAGGCTGGGGAGGATGATGAGGACGTGGACGAGGATTAGAACAAAGAGGACGAGGAGGACGAGGTGGTGGAAGCGAGGGAAGAGGTTGGAAGAGGAGGAGGAGGAGGAGGAGGAGGAGGAGGAGGAGGAGGAGAGGAAGAAGAAGAATGCGAGGAGGAGGAGGAGGAAGTGGTGAAAGCAAGGAGAAGGAGGTGGAAGCGAGAGATGGGGGGGCGAGGACGGCGAGGAGAAGGCGATCGGCGGAGCCAGGGCGGGGCCCCGCGGTACCCCCTTGGGAAGCGGCTGCGCCTGCACCTTCGGCAAACTGCGTGCGTCGCCGCCTGCCTGCTTCTCTCTTTGTGCTGCGTTCGCCTACTTGGGCTCCGCCGAGGAGCTCCCCGAACCCAGACCCCCTCGCGCTGCGAGAAAAACACGACGGAAGGTTTTTCGTTGTTCTGGGCCTCCGGGAGCCCTTACCGGGCCTCAGGATTGTCAAAGAAGGACTCAGGATGAAGAACCAGTCGCCGGGGAATGGGTCCAGACCGCTGGGGGCCGACGTCATGAAAAATTCATGGCGTCGGGGTTCTGGCTTGGGCTCCGCCCAGGAGCTCCCCGAATCTGGACAGATGGGGACATGAGGCGTTCCAAAAAGGGCCCTGCATTCCAGGATCGAAGGAGTTGCCATCTCTTCCGCGGCGGAAGGTCGGCGGATGGCGGTGGAAGTAAAACGTGGCCG